GGTCGCTATGAGTTGCAAACGGCACATAACAACAACAACAACAACAACATCACATCCCAAACATATTACATCACAGTCTCTGGAGCCACAGCACACTCAAGTCAGTGTTTTTGTTGTTTTTTTGGGGGTGTTTGTTTGTTTCAAATCTGTGTTTTAACAGGCCTACTAGATGGTTGTAATAAACACTGTTTGAAAACTACTGTCGTAGTAACCCATCTCTCGAACCTAGAAATGAAATTACTAGACAAGATTTCTTTGGTTTTGGGTTTGATATCTATTACCCGATTTCTGTCCAAAAGATTATACCAGTTTACAGTCCACTGGCAGAATAAGAGGGTGTCAGGTTTTTTTATATCAACAACAACATTAGAATCTGTATTTTTTAAAAAAATAATAGTAGAATTGAAAGTTGTTTTTTAGTGTGGCCTATTTTTCTGATGGCATATTCTTTTCAGTTATTTGTTGTGTTTATTGATGTTGATAAATGATGACTTTCTTCATGAAAGTATATATGTAATTTATTTTTTTGTCTCTTATATAGACTTTTTAATTCTTTTCGACCTTGTACTCGTTTTTATATTTAGCTTAAGATAATGGTCTGATTTTCCCCAAATATAATTACAAGCTATCTGGGAACCATTTAACAAATGGTCTATCCTATCATCTTGGATTTTTAAGATGACATGTCATAATAAATTTCTGGGTATATGTGGGTCTGTTTCTAAGGTTCTTTTCTTTTGATAAATAAGCTCCTTGAAAGTAAAGACTCTGACTATGTGACTCACTGCTATTGTCAGCACAGCCTGACTCACTGCCTGGCATGTCCATACAGTAGGTGCCGGATATGTTTGTTGACAAACCATCTGTTTATTCCTGTGCTGTTACTACATTTCTAAAGTACTTCCTTCACAAATGCATATTTTGTTATTTTTATGTGTGTATTTTTAGATGCTCATTAAAGTTTTGATTGGATACCATGGTCTGATTTATCAGTAAGGACTGTTACATTTACAGTAGTGAATTTTGCTATCCAGAAACATGCTACTTCTCCATTTTTCTTGTTTATTTAATCTTTTCCTCTTAATAGATGTAATAATTTTTCCAAGTAATTCTCTTCACATTTCTAGGTTTTTAAAGCATTAAAAACTCAAAGTAATGTAGTCTGTACATATTAATTTTGTATCTTTTCCAGAATTTCTTGCATTAGCCACTGACCATTATTAATAGTGAAAAGAACAGTGGAAAGAATAAATGTGACCTTAATTCTCATACTGAAAAGAAAGGTCCCTAGAAAGCCTGGGGACACAGTTCTCTGCATAGAGCTATAATGTCTGTGATGCAGAGTAAAAGGAGGTAGTATAAAGGGAATGGCTTTGAAAATTTGTATCACACTGAAATAGTACCTGTTTTATACCATGAAGTCATACAAGGCCTCAATTCCAGACCCAGAAGTAAGGACATAAATGACGGGTAATCCAGTTTCCAAGTATCAAATCACAGGTGCTCCTCTGCATATCTGAGCTGTAAGCTTACAGAGTTTGGAGTATTTATTTTGGGGTAGACTTTTATCTTAAAATAATCGGTGCCTTATTTTAATTCAGAGTATGAACTATTTTTGAATTTGAGAAATCATTGCTCCTTTTCTTAAGACGAAGAAGGGAACAGTGAAACATCGATTGGGTCCAAGGACAGAACAGAGCATTACAGAACTGCCTTCTATCTTAAGCATTCCCAGTGTTGAAAAGGGATGGAATTTGCTTTAATAATTCCTCCTGATTGTAATGCAGGGCGTTTATATAAATTTCATTACCCAGCTTAGGGCTATTTATCATTATATAGAATTAAAAAGAATTAATAATCAGAACGATGTCACCAAAAAGTATTTATGCCTATGATTAAGGAGAAAAGATACATAGCATAAAGTTTGACCAGTTGTGTATCATCTGAATTTTAGGCTTTGGGAAATAATGGCCTCCAACAAAATTAATTGGTACAGATTGATTTTGCTGTTGTTGTTGTTGAATTGTCAAATATCTGATACTACTGTAACTTTTCTTTTTGAACATAAATCATTTGTTTAAAAAAGAATTCCAAGACACTCTAACTCCAATCCAGTATAAAGATCTGAAGATTTGGAGCAAATACTGTCCCTTTGCTACATAAGGTCTTCAGTACTACCAGCATCCAAAGGGAAATTTAAATTATTGAGAGAAGACTGAGGTCAGGAGACAAAGGGTCAGCACAGAGACACAAAGATGTAAACGAATGAATAGCATGGACTTTGTGCTTTTCAAAGTTTCATTTTATCAGGATTAGGGGAGGGGTGGAGAATAGAGTACAAATTAGTAAGTTGGGTGATGAGAAAGGTCATATGCAGTAAGCATTTTCATTGCACTTGAGTCAGAACCATCTCATAGCCAACCCATCCAGCTGGTTTTTGGGGGGTTGTAAATCACACGGAGTAGAGGCGGGAAGAGTTGGTACCTTCCTTTTTCCCCAGGAAGCAGCTGGTGGATTCAGACTGTCAGAGAGGTGCCACCTCTGAGTTAGAAACCAATTCCCTATGGAGCGTTGATTAAGCATTGTAGTTAATTACATTACTCCATTGTCATAAAACAGAATTTTTGTGTGATTGAGTAAAAAAAATCAGTATGATTTGTAAGCTTTCACCCAAGTAAAACAGTAGCTAGAAACTGTTTTTGAGACGTTCAGACTTCATACAACTTTCTGAGACATAGATGTGATGATGTCATTCTTTAGTTTCAAAACCTATAGCTAGCTTCTCAATTTGTTCAAAAGTCCATACGTCAGAAGTCCAAACTTCAGCATGAAAACCAAGGCTTTTTTTACAATCTGATCTCATTCTACCTCTGCAGACTCTTTATACAACCCTTACAGCCATGTGTTAACCGTACTGTTCTAGTTCTTTCTTCCAGACCCTCTTAAACAGTGGCTCCTTGTTATTATTTTAGGTGCTCCTTTCTCCCTCTCAGAATATGCCTTCCTTCCCCCCCCAATCATTTTCTTCATCCTCTTAACCTTGCCCCACGACCCCCTCTGAGCTGATTGAAGTGTTTTTCTTCTCAGCATTTCTATCATGCTTTCTGTATACTTTCTGTTAAACTCCTTTTTCACCTTGTATTGTAGATTAGCTTTGACATGGTAGTTTGTCCTCATTTGCCATCTGTTTATTAGAATGCCTGGCAAATAAAAATACCATGCTCATCATCTCATCTGATGTTCACAGCAGTCTTAAGAGGTTGATGCTGTCTTAGTCCATCACATCTTCATTTTGCAGATAAACTGAGCAGAGTAGAAAAAGGCTTCAGAAGTGGTACAGGGCAGAACTAACACCCAAACCTCTATTCATCTAACTCCTGAAGCCCATACGTTAACTGTAGTGCTGTATTTTTTAGTAATTCTGGTTAACTCAGTATTTAGCATTTATATGTTTAGATAATATAATGCCTGCTATCTTTTAGATATTCTGAGTTCACGCTGGAAGTGGAGGCACACAAGTGGTGTGATTACAGTGAAAGTTCCCATTGCACCATTCATAAAAATGTTTAAAATGAATCTTTAAAAAACATACATAAACCAATCCAGTATGTTTGTAATTGGATCTCAGAAATGGTTACTACTAGCAGCTTACGGAAAGTTATGCTTTTTAAAATACAGTTAGCTTTTCTAACAGGATTACATAGTACTGCACAGTGATAAAACAGATTGATTTCTGGGCGTCTGCTGCCCCCTTACTTCTGTCTTTATTATGAACTTCCTTACAAGTCGGATACTCCTTCACTGCCATATTACATTGCAGGGCTAACCAGGATGTAGAATGCTATTTAAGGATTTGAAGTGGAATGCAGCGTATTGGAATACTTGGGGTCAATAAAAGTTTATTGCAAAAAAAAAAATGTTTTTAAACATCTTAGAAGCTGAATAATGCTTTAAATGCCATGTGCTATTGGTAAGTATATATAAATGAGTATAAAATGTGTATATCTTTTCTCGGGTTGTCCTGTGTATATCAAATAGAAATTAAAATTCACTGCAGAATATTAGAACAGTGAATGTCATTAAGAAGTAGTAAGCTCACCCTCTTTTTTTGGTCATTTGCTTTTTTCTTAGAAATTTCGTAAACTGTAGTATTAATTCCATCTTTAACTTTCTCTTTCTGTTATTTCCTCTAGTGTTATTAGTAACAGTACTTGTAGTGGAAGGAATTGCTGTGGCCCAGAAGACCCAAGGTAAAATATACTTACAATGATAAGTTGTGGCATGTGATGTGACTTGTTTGAAAGAATTGTAATTTTTGAGTACTATTTTCATAATCCCTCCAGGGTATTCCAGTGGCCTAAGGCTCTCTGTCGGTTTCTTCATCTTAATTTAAGTGGATTTAGCTGCAGTTAACTAAACTGTCAACAGAAAGTCTTGATCCCCTGATCAATGTTTTTTTAGTTGACATCATTTATATCTCTTAGCATAATGACAGTTAAGTCCAGAAATTAAGTGAGAGTCTTACTTTATCGCTAAAAGTGATATTTCCTTACCTTCCGGGTTAGTGTGTGGTTTTGTTTTTTGGTTGTTTTTTTTTTAGTAATCGTAGTGTATGTCAGATGTTAGGACATTTCCTTAGATAGTCTTTTTAAGAATCCATTACAACTGTACACATGTATGTAACAAAAAGCCAGATAGCTTTAAAAGGTTAATTAGGAAAAAACTCCTCCCCTCATTACCTCATTTCCTCTTTAGGTAAACTACTCTGTTAGCTGGTCCTTATGGTATTTTTCTTCATATCTCTAAATAGCATGTTACTTAGATCCTTCAAAAATATTGAATAGATATATGAAGAAAGGATACATCCAAAGCACACACACACTTCCTAATTTTAAACCATGCGGTGTTTCCTTACTCTGTTTGGATAATAGATTTTTGGTCTAGATACAGATCTCATATAAGCACAATTAAGTGTGCTAGGATACCCATTCTCAATATTAGCCGTAGTTTTCTATGATCTATGCAGTGAAATGCCATTGCATAATCAATAAAACTCAGTTAGACATTCTTCTGGTATTCTCTGCTTTCAGCCGGGATCCGTCTGACATCAGCAGTGATATCCCTGGTGCTATGGCCTCTATTAAACCCAGCCTGAATTTCTGGCACTTCCCTCTTAATGTACTGTTTTAAGCCATTCAGTAATATTTTGCTTGCAAGTGCTACGAATGATATTGTTTCATATTTCTACATTCTGATGGACCACCTTTCTTGGGATGGGAACAAATAATGGATCCCTTCCACTCAGACAGCTGTCCTTCAAATTTG